GCGGCCTGATTATGTGCATGACTTTCCTGTTATAGTGAATTGACATGTCACGGTGCGGATCTCTCGAAGTGAAGTAATTCCCGAAAGCATTGCGAAGGGTTCTTCCGGAAAATCTCTTGAACACTGACACTTCTACACTTACACTCACACACTGACACTTCCACACTTGCACTTGAACACTGACATTTCGACGCGTACACTTGAACACTTACGCTTCCACACTTACACTTGAACATGAACATGAAGACTTACACGTCTATACGTATCCAAGTGTAATGCAAGTGTGAGTATGGAAAACTTGCGCAGGAGATGTCCTAAGCACGGGAGATGTCCTAATGAAATGAAAAACTTGCACGGGAGATGTCCTAATGAAAAGCATTTCCCCACTTTATAAATTCTCTCTTAAATTCTCTCTTAAAGGCGGAGGGTGGGACGAACAGCGTCAACCGAAAACGCAACCCTTTGCGGAGATCGTGCGCGTCGTGTGCGCGAAATGCAGGCGAGAGTGCGATTTGGCCTGTTCCCGCGCAACCCTCTGCGGAGATCGTGCGTGTCGAGTGTGTGAAATGCAGGCGAGAGTGCGATTTGGCCCGTGCCCGCGCAACCCTCTGCGGAGGTCGTGCGCGCCGAGTGCGCGAAACGCAGGCGAGAGTGCGATTTGGCCCGTGCCCGCGCAACCCTCTGCGGAGATCGTGCGTGTCGAGTGCGCGCCAGAGTGCGATTTGTCCGGTGTGCGCGCAACCCTCTGCGGAGATCGTGCGTGTCGAGTGCGCGAAATGCAGGCGAGAGTGCGATTTGGCCCGTGCCCGCGCAACCCTCTGCGGAGATCGTGCGTGTCGAGTGCGCGAAATACAGGCGAGAATGCGATTCTGCCGCGGAGAGCCCTCTGCGGAGATCGTGCGTGTCGAGTGCGCGAAATGTAGGCGAGAGGCGACGTGTCCTGTGTGCGCGCCACCTCTAAGTGCGACGTGTCCACACACGGACTCGACACACTAGACTGGACACGTCACACTGAACACAAAACGCACAGTGTACCTGGAGTGACACCGAGTCGTTCAAGGCGGACGTCGTTCGGCGGAAGGAGAACAAGGACGTAGGTAGACATACTTTCGGGATCTTTCGGGGAAGCTTTTTCTTATACACAGGCGAGTCGCGAGATGAGCAGAGAGAGCATGCGAAGATATAGGCAATGGCTGACTCATACACACACATCACACACAGAGACCCACGCACTGCCTCAACTTACTCGGACACACACACACACACAGACAGAGACTCATACACACACAGACATAGATACACACACAGAGACCCACACACTACCTCAACTCACTCGACTTAACACTTCACACAGAGCACTTAACAGATAACTCACACTCTGACTTCCTACGTGATGAAAAATGCTTTCGGGCCACTCGTCGTCTAGTTTTTGACTTTGTATATCTCGGGTGATCTCTGCTAGGAGCAAAGGATGCTACTTGGGGCTGCTGGCCTTTCTGCTAGGAGCAAGAACGCTACTAGCAAAGGACGCTCCTAGGGGCTACTAGGAGCAAAGGGCATCGCTACTAGGAACAAGGACGCTCCTGGGGCTACTGATCTCAAATCCTTGATCCTGCCAGATCACAACAACTGGGTGCTCCCCGCGTCGGAAGGCGCCCACGTGCATGAAGGAGCAGTGACGAACGCGACGAAGTGTGGCCTGGTGAAACCGGGTCCCGACGTCAAGTCAGAAGCCCAAGACTGTTCAATTTACTTCTTGTGTTGCCCTCCCTTTGCTTCAACGTGTTTTGACCTCCCTCATTTGACGGCTTGTAACACCAAGATGGAAAGGCAAACAAACAATGGACCAGGCTTTGCAGCTCTTTTTGCCCTTAGAGGTGTTCCATGAAACAAAGGCTGTGAAAAAAGTTGAAAGACATCAGGGCTTCCGCCACGGCCTCTGGTATCTCGAGCAAATCTGCAAAGCTGCGGTGCTCCAGCACCAGCCCAGCGCCCACCACACCTGGAAGGAGCATGGGGGGCATTGCGGAGCTTTCTCAGTCAAGCAATGAATGGGGTCTGCTATAAATATTATATATTTCGCATCTCTTGCCTATCCTCGATTCAAACACATCACACACACACAGTCTTCTTCCAAGGTATTCTTCAATTGCATGATGTGTTGGACAGCATCGAACATAATCAGATCTCAGCCATGCGCTGCCATCAAAGGCTTTCAACAAGGTGCCGCTGGGCTGCAAAGGCAAAGAAGTAATGCAAATCACAAAAGCATCAAGATCTAGTCTAACGCTGTGCCTTCGCCTGCAAGTCTTGTGCCAGAAAAGCACCAAGACTTATTGGGGCCAGCAGGGAAAGAATCCTTGGAGGCCATGGCAAGCCGGCCAGACCAGAGTCAACACTTAAAAACCTGGAGATGCCCCGGATCATTTCTTAGCGTTGCCAAGGTCACTCCAAGAAAGAGATTAACAACGGAAGGTGTTTGGGACCCCTTTGTTCATCTCTTTCTTCATCCGCCTGGCGGCCAAACCTGGCTAGACCGGGCACCGACCGGGCACCCAAACCCCAGCAACACCAGGCAGGATTTCTTGAGGCAGGACCTGCAGCAGTGGTGAGCGACTGTGCTGAAAGTGCCGTAGTGGATAAAGGTTGTGTTGACAGCTAAGTTGCAGCTTATCTTGTGCCTCTCATGGTCTTGGTCTTGGTGGCTGAGTCTCGTTTTGAGCAAACAGTGCCGGCCTGCGTCGCGGTTCGACACATTGCTTCGGCTCCGTCTCCACCTTCAAGCATTCGTCCTCCCTGTCGGGTGGCTTCACATGTCCCTGGCCACAGCTGAGGTGAACAAATGTGAAAAGGATAATTGAAAAGGGTAATAATTTGGCAATGAACAATGTGTTGCTCTTTCTTGTCTTTTGTCTGTTCATGTGCTTTCTTTGGACTTTCAGACCTGTCTTTCTTTGGTTTTTGTTGTACAAAATCGAAGGTTTGCCTCTGTAGTCTACTGGCAAGTTGACTTCCGTTCACATGCCATTCAGTCCTGCCTCGTCCGTAGGTGGGGACGGGTCATCCATACTCTCACAGTCGATGTAAGCACATCAACACATTCTTGAATCGTTGAACACTTGCTAAGGTTGGACAACACATGGCAACAAGATCTGTAAGAACTCGATCTGCGAAATGTTTGGAGCTTCTGGAAACTGGGCTCTCTCTGAGCTGTGAAAAGTCTGTTGTCACATCTGAATTCTGCATCACAAGCTACTCTCTGAAGTGTGGGCAATGCAACCAGGTGATATGTTTCGTTGCAACTGCAAGGAACCAACATCTTCGGCATCAAATGGCATGTGTTTCATGTCTGAACGATCCTTTTGAAATGCGCAGATCGCGAAACCTCAGGTAACGTACCAAGTACAACCTGCCACTGTTTTTGTGGCAGTCTGACATCATGCAAGTAATTTTCTGTGGCCAACAAACGGACAAACTAAAGGGACACGGGATACTTTCTTCCAAATTTGAAGAGTTGCGTGGCCACCGTCCATAGTCATTCACTGTCTCAATTGGTCGTTTCTTGCACCAAAGTGGGCGTCTTCGCGCCTTCGAAAGCCATCGAGGGTGACACGACATGCCACGCGCAGCGACGGGTGACACGCAGTGTCGCGTGCACTACGAGTAGGGACGATGCCTTTCGTCAAAAACTGACGAATCCCCATCGACCGGCCTTAGGAAACTGGGAAACAGCCTGCGTGCAATTGTCACACGTCCACCACTGTGAGAGAGAAAGCGTGTGGAAGAAATAAATCATAATAAATATTAATAAATCTGAAACGTAAACAGACTTTGCCATACTTAGCTTCATCATGCCTTATCTGAGGAGTCAACATCAGCGAGTCGCTTCCTTAGGCGAGACCGCATCTGTGTTGACTGACTAGACCTGATGACCTGAGGTCTCCGACGGTAAGCGACAGCTCCGGGTCGTGGGGCTGCTGCTCCTGGCCGAAGTCGAGTGAGGGAATGGTTGCAGAAATTGTTTGCAAACGTCCACATGGGCCTTCTCGCTGACTCCACCTCCGACTGCAAAGTCCTGACAGTGAGTCATGTTAAATCTGTCAGGCAACATGTCACTGTTGAACCCTAAAACCTTAACCTTTAGGGGTCAACGTTTTTCTAATTGGGAAAGGGCTGTCCAATTAGAAAATGTCTGCGGCCAATGTTTAAACGGACAAATATGGATAGTTCTAGTCGGCATTCGCATCACAATCACAAGAAACCTTAAAACTGCTGTTACATTGAGTGATGAGGTCCCAGCCATGCTCATCTTGGAGTTGCTAGGATTGATGCACTCGATCAAGTTCGACGTGGCGCAGCCTGGTCTGCCACTAGAAGCTTATCACACGATATCCTAAGCCTATGTTTGGAAACTCTATGCCATAAGAATGCCAAATCATGATGTTCTTCGAAAAGCAGTAGCAGCTAAGCTGCAAGTGGCTGCCGAAGTTCGGACGGGGTACCTGGTGCCCAGATCCGGCGTTAGGTCGACTTTGTCCACAGGCAGAAAGGTTAGGGTCTGATCGGTTTGAATTTGATGTTCAATAACCACTGATCCGGGAGCCTGGTTGGTATGCATCACCTGAAGCATTTCCTCCCACACCTCCTCACATTCTCACCTGCTCAACTACCCCGAAAATGCTTGCCTCTCAGAGTACAAGTCCCCACTGTGAAACCTGTTGAATGCTCCAGAGTCGAAGGAAGAATGGGCATAACTCTGTCTTGGTAGACGATAAACTTTAGCTCGACAAATTCAGATTGCTGGCGGCACTGCTTTGCCGTGAGATCACTGCATTTCTTGAAGCACCTCAGTCAGTGGCTTCACATGCCTTCGCAGCAATCGACTGGTGTGATTGATTCATATCCGCAAAGCACCAGTGTCTGCGAAAACGAAGAGAAACAGGTAAGACAAGGAATTAAAGGATGCAGAGCGAACGATCTTCCATTTGGAAATGATGCACCCAAAATCTGTGAAATGCCCAGCATCTTGAGAAACCCAGCTGAAAAACATGCGTCACACTTCAGATCTATGAGAGACGCTTTGGAATCCAATGCTTCCAGGCCACTTTCCCAAGAACATCTCTTCTGTCACCAGGCAAGCGCCCTTGGAGTGGGGGCCTCCAGAAGCCGTAGCAACACAAATCCGTATCAAATCCTGCATTGGTTGGACGATGGATTTGGAAGTGTACCCAACTGACCCAACTCGAAACTGCTTTTGGAATAAACAACAAGCAGGAGCAGCTGGTCAAACGTTATGGATTTAGAAGAGTAGCTGGTCACACCGTGTCTGTAGACTCTATTTGATGGTTGTTCGATCCACTGAGGCTCCCTGCATCCCTTGCCGCACTCATCACCAGCCACGTCAAATCCAGTGCACGGCACCGGGAATCCCTTGGACCTCGAAATTATCGCAACTTGCTAAGAGATCTACCAGTACTCTAATAGCAAGGGCCTCCACCCAAAAGCGGTGGCCTCCAACCTAATA